AAGTGTAGCCCTGTGATAGACTGGTGACCTGTCCAGGTGTCTCCTGCCTTCACCCTGAGTCAGCTGGGATAGACTCCAGCCCCCCATGACCCTGGTGAGGATTAAGCGGTGTATAGATAATGGATGGATGGATTGATAAAATAATTTAAATGGTTATATTTATCCAGTGATTTGTACTATATAATATTTATGTTTTCATTTAGCCTCGTCAGTTTTGATGATTTTTTTTTTCTTAAGTTATTTTTTTGGCCTTTATTTGACAGTGCAGTGAGAGAGAGAGAGACAGGAAAGTAGGGAGAAGAATGGGTGGAGGACATGTGGGAAAGGGTCATGAGCGGGATTCAAACTCATGACCTCCACATTGGGACTGTAGCCCTACACATAGGACGCCAGCTCAACCAGGTGAGCTATAGCAGCGGCCCAGTTTTGATGATTTTTAAATTCAAATTCACTTAACTTTCGCAATTTCCCATTCAAATGCTTGGAAGAGAAGCCGGTGAGGCATGTGCAGGCTGCAGTCACTGCAGCCAGCTCAGGGAGGGATTGTGCAATCCAAGTGAGGCAGCAGCGAGCTCAGCCTCACCTGGAAGACACTGCTGCTGCCTGTTATACTCATTTTACACTTTAGTCCATAGCCTGCTGCTGTTGTTTGCAAAGTAATTTTGCTTCCTTAAGGTTTACAAAGGACATTCTTAAAGTTTATTTTATGTTCACTGGTTTTATTTACCTAAAAATGTCAAATTGTTTAAAGCGGATATAATTGTTTTGCACTTCAGTGTGTGTGATGTTTCTGACTGGATCAGTGAGCTTTATATGTTTACTTTAATTTATATGTGTGTGTTTATTTATTTTTTTATAGACTGTCCTGTTCAGCAAAGACAGTGTTAAAGAAGAGCAGTCAACATGTTTACAGACATGTTCATCAAAGCTGAGAAGTTAGTCAAGTTTAAGGACAAAAGCCACAGATTAGTTTTATTTATTGTCGTAATCAGGCTTTGAAATGAATCTGATATAGTTTATTAAGCAACATGTGGATTTATTTCTTGTTTTTCTCAAAAAATACACACGGAGAAAATAATCACATATCAAATCACAAAATTGAGGGAAAAAAAATCGCAATTACATTTTTTTCAAAATTCGTTCAGCCCCAATAGAAACCATCAGTATGATGCAGAAAGGCAGCGTAACAGGACGTTGTACCGCAGACAGGATCTCATGTAGCCAGACTGAATGCCATCAGTAAAGCAGGAAACCAGTTAAAACAGTTCATCAAGTTTCCATTAACTGGCCACAGCTGCACCACATCCATCACATCAGGGTTCACATGTTGTCCCAAAAACACGTTGTCTTGGCCACTACGCTGTCTTTCAAGCTGCGTGTTTGGAAAATTTGACATATTTTACAGTAGAACATGCAAGTTTTCCTTCGAAACTCATTTCTCTACCGTCGTCTTTGTTGCTAAGCAGCAAAGACGTTAGCTAACGGGGGAGTGTTGCTAAGACTCCCGCTATGCTGTTAAACATTTCTGGTGAGAACCTGCACATCAGCATCAACATCAGCCTGATAAAATGACATAAATATATATTTTACTCACCAAAACCTGTGATTATTGAACACAGTTCCATCCTGCTTTCTTTCATCATAAACAGTTGAGTCACTGCTGAGCGTTTCACTTCCAACAATCAGTCCTGCTTTAGGAGGCTGATGCTGAGAGTCGGTCTGTCCAGTCCTGTTTCTGCCATACGTTATAATTCACTGTAGGGCTCAGAATGTCCGCACGCTTAACTAAAACGAAACCCAAAAAACAACCTAATACTTTTACGATAAAGTTTTAGCTTGTGCGGGTCGCTAGCTTTGGCTAAGCTCACTGACCATCCAATCAGAGGACGTGAAAGCGCTGACGTTATCTGGGACCACCAACTCTAAAT